AACCCTACTGCCATATCACAAGCAAGTTAATAAGAAATAGAATATTTACACCTCAACAGATTAAACAAGGTTAAATAAAAAATATATATATATACAAATAATTGCATCATACCCATAATTATATCAAAGGGCAAAGCTTCCCCCCCCCTCCTCTAACTCTAGCTGCTCATCAGAAAGACAACTAAACACAAACACACACACACTCTTACACTTCTTAAATTCATAGAAATTATGGAGAGATTTCCAACTATGTCTGGTAAAGACATTCAGATATGTAAGCCATATATAAAAATAGATATAGGGAATGTTTTCAAAAGGCACAAATGACATTTAGGCACTTGTGAGAGTTAGTTGCTTTTGAAAAATCTCCTCCACAGTAACTTCATATGTTGGATTATATTTATTGTCATTGATAATCATTAAATCAGTACTCAATAATCACCTTAACAAAAACAAGCAAATAATATGTCATGAAGACAGTTTTGAGCAATATTCAGCTATAATGTTGGAAGCACTTACAGTAGTGTAACAAGCAAACAACAGTTCACTGTATTTCTGCACAAGCTGATAAAAAAGAATCAGCATTCTAGGGGCTCTGAGAAAACACTTTTAGAAAAGTTAGAGTGTTTTTAATGTATTTGTATGTTAAATATTAGCACAAACACAAATGATTATGTGGTGTGATATGAAGATTTTACCAGCATGAGTTTATGAGGCCAGCCTCGTTACTCACAATTGGTATAGGACATTCTGATTTTATCAATGTTCATATTTGAACTATTCCTAAACCATTAAGAGTCGAAGATTGTGCCTTTCGAAAGGCAATTTTCCCTAGACTTACAATACAGGTTTTAGATTTTACCTAGGACCTCTATGTCATAAAGTACTAATAAAATGCACACAGGTAAGCTGTAAGTGAAGAAACATGTAAATTGTGGGTCTGATCTGGCAAACCCTTACGACCCACTATAATCCTATTAAAGTGACTGTCTCTGCCCAATAACAAACACTAAATCCAGCAGTAGACGGTCACAGGATGGTGCCCTTTCTGTGTAAAATTACAAAACTCTAGGAATGAAACACAAATAACAGAACTCACTGATTTCTAAATTTTAACTTACTATACCTGTTCCTCAATGGCTAGCTCCCCTTACTCCTTTATTTACAATGGCAAAAGTTTTTCCATTAAAATTTGACAATATTACAGATTAAACCCTGATCTAAAGTCCTTCTGCATGGAGAAACTCCATGAGAGTTCCACTGCAGGACTGGTTCCTGATTAGCTAATGCCACTTATAAATAATACACTCCTCCCCACAACCTACCAAACTTCTAATTCTAAAAATTAAGAAAACTGAAAATTTGTGGTTATGCCATCTTGCAGATCAGAGTGATATTTACATCCAGAGTTATATTCTCCTGAAAATAAGGTTTAACAATTTATAGCCCCTAACTATAACAGCAATAATAGACTCTGTTGTAATGTAGATATGCATTAGCAGAGCTCAAAAATGGCATCTCAACAAGTAAATAACTTGATTGTTACACATTTTTTCCAAAAGATTTGTCATTTTTAACATTACAATATCTGTGTAGAAAATTTGCCAAGATTAAGTTATGTTTGATCAGATGGTTGCAAAAGATGCATCTGAAATACTGAGAATTGTATATATTCTTTAAATTGTGTATATTCTTTTAATCTCAATAGATAAAAATAATTTATACAGAAAAATTGCCTCCAAAGTAATCAGCTCTTTGCCAAATTTTCACCCAATGGAGCTTCAAATGGCCAAGGTAAAAAGCTCATTAAAATGGGAGTTATAATAGAAACACTGACAAACACTGACTACTAGGTGCTTCTATAATACAATAGTGTTTCCAAGATGCTTCACACAACTTTGATCAGATAAAAAGATACTATGTTGGCATTTCCAGTTGCCAAAATTGCCATTTGTAATTAAAAACTAAAATTGGCACTCATTCTATGCAGGCAATTATCTAAAGGCATCTGGCAATATTCCTTGTTTACAGTGTTGCTGTGTCATGACTTCACTCTGTTTGGAAATTTATTTTTTTTATAGGTTTAATACTGTCAATTTTATTTTCATCTTGGATTTTATTTAATAATTATCATTATGCTCTCAAATTAAACAGAAGAGTACCAAAGTATGATTTCTTGGTATTTACATGATGACTGCAATAAGAAGTGTCCTAACAAGTATTTAAGTGATTTTCAGAGTATTGATAAAGTACTGTCTATGCCAGAATATGACCTAGGGTAAGAGATTCCTATTAAAACACAAATAGCAATGTGTACCCAATAAATGACCAAAAATAACGAAAGTTCAGTCTACAACAGTAGATTTTCATAATGAACTATTTAGAGGGGAATAAGTATTTCTACTTAGTTGACAGCAATTTTTAACTAAATGAAATGTCACTTCAAACCTGTTTCTGTTGTTTTTTGTCTATAGCAATTTTGGTCTACTAAGTAAATCTATCCCTGAAGCACCTCATTAATCACAGTGCAGTGGTTCTTGGCAAGATATTCTATATGGCTATAAAAACTATTAAAGTAGGATTTGGGGATTCCCATGCTGGTGTGATTCAAAGCATTACTTCATCATAGGTTACCAAAGACAGCTTTTAACAAATAGTTGCTTTATTACTGAAAGTGTTACAACTGACATTTGCTCACTATACATAATCATCTTTTCAGTGAAATTACTGGAACTACTGTTCAAAGAATAGTAACCTTGCATCTGCTCTATACTGTGCAGTATGTTAGTTTTCTATGATTAAACATAGTGACCCATCCTCATACACCATTTATCATATCAAAGATCAATTTTCTGTACTTTTACAAATGTAAAGCACAATATTTTAAGAAAAAACATTTATTTGACTGGTCTTAACATCAGTCATACTTCATCTGTCTTACTGCAGCTTTCTGGGGTTAGGAATATGGTGTATTGCAATGACTTCTTCACAAACTCTGTCTTTAGACTGAATGATCTTTGGTGTAGGGACATGTATTTGGATGCAGCCAGAATACATAATAATAAAAGAGGACTAATATTGAACAAACTTGTTTTGGAAACCCCTGGGGATACTTTAAAGTGGTTGCTTAAGGTAAGGTGTTAAAGCCTACCTCACATAAGCAACACCCTGTCTTAAGGAGCCAATTCAAGATACACCTGAATTCTCTTTGAAGGATAGTGCCTAGAATCACAAGAAACATTTTAGTCACATCCTCTACTAAACCCATGTACACTGTACACACATCCAAAACAGAAGAGTAACTTGCTAATACAAGATGCATAGGGAAATGACATTAACATTCAAGGAACAAGATAAATTAAGACTACATAACAAGATAACAGTTCACTAAGTGGTTTCTTAATAATGCCCAACTATAAGAGAAATAGTAAGGAACTTCTTGGAAGTCGCAAATGAATTTATCATGATTACTAATAGGAATTAGTTTGGAATTCATCCTAAATATTGAATATTTCAATAAAAATATAACAGTAACAGATGTCCATTAACTACTGGTGCTATGGAACTCAACTGGAAATACAGATGCAATTTGCATGAATACTAAATGAGTTCATAATGATCAAAGCTATTACTTATAATACATAATGCATTCATAATGATGGGATCAACGCATTGCAGGATGCAAATGAGAAAATGGGTAATAATAATTAAATGGAGTAAACATCTCAAACTACATCATTCCTGGTTTGTAAGAATCAAATACTCGGATATTTAAGTACAGGGGTAATATTAAAGAGAATTGACTAGAGCCTGGTTCATGCGTAGCTCATGAATCATCTCTGCATCCTGGCCTTTTACAATCGCCCCACTGTCCTTTTCAAGTTATTGCAGCCAAGAATTCCAATTCGCAAGCAATAGATGCAACCGCATCTGTGAGCAGATGCTCGGTGCTTCCTGCCTCTAACATGAACAGACACCTGCAGAATTACATTTACAGAACAGACTGAAAACGGTCGAAAAGCTGTGTACCAACTCACTGCCCTCTTTCCCTCCAGTAACTCTGCTTTTTATTTAGTTTCTGGGAAGAAGCACGTACAAAAGTATCTAAAAATAACCAACCGGACAGAACTGTAGTAAAAGCCTGGCTACACGAGCGAGTGAATGGACGCGGTGGGGAAACAGTAGTAAAACCCTTTAACCAGGGAAAGGTTTTAAAGGCCCGAAGGGAAAAGTAAACATTTGCTTCCCAATGAATTCCTCGTTGGACATTTTCCGCTTGATGGTCAGGTCTAGGCTGCCGCTCTTTTCCCACCTTCCCACAGCGCCACGAGCGAGCCCAGACCAGCCTTTGCATGCCTGCTGGCTGCCGGGGCCAACCGTTCGAGTGCAAAGAGCATGGGGCTGGCCCAGGCAGCCCTGCCGCAGCGCAGTCCCTTGCAGAAGTGACGGCCAACACGTGGGCCTTTCCCCGAGGGCCGAGCGCTTCCCACGGCACAGCCGGCTGGCACAGCCCCCCGTCTCCCATGGCAGTGACTCCCTTTGCCGGCTGCTGTCACCGCGTTTACGCGGAGTGGCGGGGGAGAGGGGGGGGGCTACAGCGTGCACAGACCACCCTAAATGCTGACGTTTCTGAGTCACTTTTTGGCGGGTTTTTGGGGAGCGCCACTCCCTCTCTCCCGCCCGCCACTGGGGGCTGTCACCGGCCAACAAGCCCCGCTCTCCACCTGGACTTCCCCCCCCTTTGCCTCCCACCCCGGGGAGAAACGCTGCAGGCGAACCACAGCCGGCTTCCCTTGCGCTCTTGGGAGATGCCCAACTTAAGGAGCCGGGGCGGGGCCGTGCCACAGTTCATGCCTCCTCGCTGCTCCGCGCCTCACCCCACACCCCCTGCCGGGCCGAGCCGGCGCCTGGCTCCCGGGGACAGGTGCGGGCTGGCGCGCCGGGCGGGCTCCATCCCCGCCGGCGGGCGGGCTGCGGCAGGGGCCGGGGGCAGTACTCACACGAACGCGTGGTAGATGAACGCCCAGCTGCGGGGTCTCTCCAGTACGTTGTACAGATAGTTTTGCAGCCTCCGGTACTTGACGTTCCTCCGGCAGCTCTGGCTGCTGTTGTACGACAGCGGCTTCCCCAGCAGACTCATCCGGGCCCCCCCCTTGCTTCCCCCGCCGGGTCTCCCGCGAGCCGCCTCGGCCGATGGCGCTGCCGGTGCCCAGCAGGAGCAAGCCGTCCCCTCTGGGGGCCGAGTTCATGAGCACCCTGCTGCGGCCGGACTCCACATCCTTCATGCCGCTGCCCGCGCGGCTGCTCTTCATCCAGAGCCCGGCGGAGCTGCCCTCGTCTCCTCCGCTGTGCTTGCGGGGCATGGCATCACCACGGGCGCTGAAAGCGGGGCAAGAGCAGCACCGGAACAGGGCTCGGGCAGCCGCCGTGCGATCAGCTTCCCTGGGGGCGGGAGGGAAGCGGCCCGCGGAGCAGGGGAGAAGGCAGAAGAGAGAGAGGGACACAGTGTCCAAACGATTCCCCGGGCGGAGGGAAACAAAGCGGAGCGGGAAAGGGGGAGCCGTGTGGGCCACTTTGTGCGAGCAGGGTCCTTTCTGCTGAGCTTCTGGCAGGAAAGGAGCCCAGCGGTCCCCAAAACACCCCGACTCGCCCCTTGGGTCCCAAGGGGAAAGGCAGGACTCCTGAGCAGCTCCCCAAGCCTGGTGGTGCCCGCACCTCCCCGTAAAAGGCAGGAATGGCTCCCTCTGCCCCTTCAGCCTTCTTTTTTAAAAAAGAACTTTGAAATAATAGGGGCTCTCAGCAGCCCAGATAACTCAATATGTTAGCGAGCGAGCCGGCGAAAGGGGGACCAAGAAGTAAAGTGGAAATGCACCGTGGGAGAAGTTATTGGGATGTAGGGAAGTGAGGAAAAAAATAAAGCCAGGACAGCTTTAGGGGGGAAATTAACATAGAAGGCTCCTGCCCTTGGCTTGGCCAGTACATTTTGCTGTCACGGACACCTCAGTCGACCAAACAAGCTGTTGCTCTAATTCCAAATGCATGAGAAAGTCAGCAAGTAATTGTACATCCCTTGAAAAATTGCTCCAAAGTGTGACCACTTTTCAGTGGTAAACAACATGCCCCGTGACAATAGTGATGAAAACAGTAAACAGCTGATTACACGCAGCTCCTGGAGATTATATACACTGTCGGGAAATGTCCATTTAAGTCCGCGAAAGTAATAAAACAGCTGAAGTCTCACTAGCAGCAGCTCCTGTGAGAATATGGAGGAGAGATCTGTCAGCTGGAGCAGCCTCCCTTTGTAGGTACCCAACTGCTTTTCAGATTTCCCTCCTCCGCCCAATCGTATATCGTTGCACGATTTATACAGCAAACAACTGTACAAACAGAAATATGTATCAGATTTGAAGTCTCAAATAATCCCCCACGTTGCAGACTCCAATAAACTGCACTGGCGGTTCCTCGTTGATTGGGGCGCTGGGCATTAACAACTAGGAAAGAGATTAAATCCAAAGGGAAAGAAAGTCCTTCTCTCGTTCGTGCTTGCAAACTCCCAGCAAGTGCCAGGGATTCGCACCCCCAAAAGAAAGGATGGTCAGTCAGCAAGCGAAGGTATTGATAGGCGGCGCTTGGTGTCCGAGCTGAACGGAAGAAAATAAAGCTCCCCTTGCTGAGGGTGAGTGTTTGGCTCCTGGTCTCTCCCAGCGTATCAAGGTGAGTGTGCAGAAAACCACACCCGCAGCTACCCCGCTCTAGCCCGAGTCCCTCTCCTCTGAGGCGCGCGCACACACTCACACACAGAGGCAGGCGGCTGCGCCGGGAGCTGCGCAGGCTGGATTTATCTGATTATTATTTATTAGCTGTGCTCTCGGCTCCAGCGCCCGCGGCTCCCTCCGTAGCTGTCCCTTGCTGGAGCGTCTCTCGCCCGGACATAGACACACGCGCTCTTGTGAAGGGCTGAAGCAATGTGCGCTCGGCAAGAGCCCCACGTGACTCCCCCCAGAACTCCACCGCCACCCACACTATTAAACACACCGGCCGGCGGGGAGAGTCGCTCAGGACAGGTGGTCACCTCACACTGGCTGCCACAACTCGCCCAGGGATAAAGAAGTGGGGAATCCGCAAGCTGAGAGAGGGCATGGCTTGTCATCCTGGCTACACGCTAGATCAGTGTTGATTTGCAAGAGCCCCAGCGTACCGCTTGCCTCTCTCTCTCTCTTTTTAAAGCAGCACATGTATTGCTGCTGTAGTAAACCAGAAGACATTACTCACTTCCTCTTAACCCGAGCTGCTGCTGCTGCTGCTGCTGCTGCTTTGCATACTGCAGCTAAAACTCATCGTATCCATTTCCTAAAGTCAACTGTTCGCCACCCGCCCTCGATACACGCGGGCTGTTTTGAAAATAAATAGTTCCAAAAAGGGCACCGTGACACGTGCCTTAAGAATGGGCACAGGGCTTTCTGCCTACTACCAGTCTAATCGAAGCCGCCTCTGGTTTACAGTGGTTCTACTCCTTTAGGGTTTAGTTAATTCTCAAACCTGTTCAAATCCTTAATCTCCATAAAATTCTTTTAGTGCTTTGATGGCACTTTGTTCATATCACTGAATATTAATTGCGATAGTTGTGTTGATTTGCTGCAGTTGTGGGACTGTTCTGTTAACACTGTATTAAGAAAAATGCTAACAAAAATAAATGCATGCATTCTCGTTCCTAAATTAAGAAATGTTTAATCAAGGGTCTCCTGAAAGCAGTCTCTCTTGAGTCTAATTGTTTAGGGCTAATTTTCAAATGTGTTTCCACTGGCTTTAACTAGTTTGGGAACTCTAAAATTAGGCCTTACTGACTTGTTCCACATACTGTTAAAGAGTATGTGCATGTGAGAACAATTAACTAATGTCAAAGCGATTAAAAGATCACTGAGAGATTGCTCCTGCAGTCTTTACTTAAGCAAACCTTCTGTTAAAAGGTCTTAGTTATGACCAGCTTCCTTGGATGTTACCTTACTTTGTTACCGTGGCTGGATGAGAAGATGCAGCATATTAAACAATTTCACATGTGCAGGATAAAATAACAGGAAGATGGGCAGAGCATTTGTGCTCTGCAGCATCACATTAATTCTAAAGCAGGTGGGGCTTGATTACCTATCCACTAGGTGATGTGATATTTTGGGATGAGATAAGGGTAGTTTAGTAATTAATATGAAAAACTAATTCAATATTGAGATAATGAAAAACTTCTGCTGTCTATTATAATCAGCAAAACCAGCACAGATACTGATATTTCAAGAATACGGTTGTTTTCAGTTGATCAAATATTTGAAAGAAAATCAAAATGTAAGGTCTAGGAGGCCAGTTTAAAGTTTGGGAGTTTGGGGTTGTTGTTGTTTTTTAACTGTTTAGAAAATTACAGCAAAATGGATGCTAAAATAAATTATGAGAAATTTAAGTTTAAAGTTAAGAACAGGCAACTAACAAATATTTTATTTAGTGTTACAAAATGTCTCCAAAGCTCTTTAACCAGAGAATTTGATCTGCTTCATTTCTTCACTAGATTTCCTCTTGTAAGCAAACAGGAACTTTTAAAAAACACAAGTGAGACACAGATCTTGAGAGGGGAACGGAAACAGTATACACTGAAATACAGCACACTCACACAAATGTTAAAAAGTTCATGCAACTTATTCATTGCAAGTTTCAGAGTAGCAGCCGTGTTAGTCTGTATCTGCAAAAAGAACAGGAGTACTTGTGGCACCTTAGAGACTAACAAATTTATTTGAGCATAAGCTTTCGTGGGCTACAGCATCCGAAGAAGTGGACTGTAGCCCACAAAAGCTTATGCTCAAATAAATTTGTTAGTCTCTAAGGTGCCACAAGTACTCCTGTTCTTTATTCATTGCAAGTTCATTTCACTCCTCTCTATTTGAATTGTAAATTGAGCTTAGTAAATTCTCCATTTACTAATTATTTGCACTCCCCCTTGCATTGATGCAAGTGTTTAAGTCATTATTTAATTTCCCTCTTTCCTCCCCTTTGTGCCCATTTAGCAATGGGTATGTAAAATAAGTGTTAAGTTACTAAAGACCTGATCCTGTAAACCAGTGGTTTTCAAACTGCAGGTCGCAACACAGTACTGGGTCGCGGAATGTAAGGCACTGGGTCGCGGCGGCTCTGGTCAGCACTGCCAACCAGGCCGTTAAAAGTCCTGTCGGTGGTGATGCCTAGCTAAGGCAGGCTAGTTCCTTCCTATTCTGACACCGCGCTGCGTCCTGGAAGCAGCCAGCAGTAGGTCCAAATCCTGGGGGGGCGGGCCCAGGGCTCCACATGCTGCCCCTGCCTCGAGCACTGGCCCCGCATTCACATTGGCCGGGAACCAACCAATGCGATCGGGGGGGTGAGCTGCACAGAGCCACTTGTGCACCTCCACCTGGGAGCCAGACCTGCTGCTGGCCGCTTCCGGGACGCAGTGCGGTCCGGGCCGCCCAGAGGATTCAAGGGCCCTGGGGCAAAGCAATTTTGGGGGCCCCTTCCATAAAAAAAATTTTCAATACTATAGAATACTATATTCTCGTGGGGGCCCCTCTGGGGCCGGGGGCAAATTGCCCCACTTGCCCTCCCCTCTGGGCAGCCCTGTCCACTGTGCCAGCATAGGAAGGAAGCCTGCCCTGCTGCACCACTGACCGGAAGCCGCCTGAGGTAAGCCCACCCCCAACCCCTTGCCCCAGCCCTGAGCCCCCCCCAACCCGGAGACCCCTCCTGCACCCTAAACCCCTCATCCCTGGCTCCACCCCAAAGCCTGACCCCCTCCTTCACCCCAACCCCCTGCCCCAGTCCAGAGCCCCCTCCCACACCCCAAACCCCTCATTCCTGGCCCCACCCTGCAGCCCTCACCCTCACCCCCACTCCCCAACCCTTTGCCTCAGCCCTGAGCCCCTCCCACACCCCCTCCCAAACCCCTCATCCCCAGCTCCATTGGGTCGTAGGCATCAACAATTTTCTTCAACTGGGTCACCAGAAAAAAAGTTTGAAAACCACTGCTGTAAACGCTTACACATAACTTCATACATGTTACAAGTCTCATTGACTCACATTAGTAAAGTGTTGGCAGGGGGTTGGTCCCTAAATTCTAGAAAGCCTCAGTGTACAGTCGCCTCTCTGCAGGAACAAGGGGTGAGATCCATAAAGGGAATTACGGTAGGTGTTGTGACTCTGAGGCCTGGTCTACACTAGGCTTTTATGTCGAATTTAGCGCCGTTACATCGAATTAACCCTGCACCCGTCCACACCACGAAGCTATTTAGTTCGACATAGAGCTCTCTTAAATTCGACTTCTGTACTCCTCCCCAACGAGAGGAGTAGCGCTAAA